TATATATATATATATATATATATATACACACACATGTAAGTACATATATAACTAATTTCTTTAGATTTTAAACTTTAACTCGAAATAATTTCATATGCAAGAGAATTTATAATTTAATAAATTGTTTATGTAATAACATTACATGTGTCATATAAAGCATTAATTCCAAACATTCAGATATAAAGATTGAAATAATTTTTTTAAAGCACTTACTTCTCTCCAAGGAGACGAAGGAATCTGTTTTTCTTCTCCTCAACGTCACTTGTCTTGTAATTTTTAGCCACTTCTAGCCTTTTGGCAAAGGTTAATATGGATTAAACAGGCGAGAGAAGCGGCACGTTGAAAACTGTAAACTACTCCTGCAGCAACTTTAAACTTCTTTCTTCTTTTTATTTAGGCATCTACCTCCCTTCAACCGAGGCAAGGACAAACGGCCAAGCACTTTAAACGGTTTTTCAAAATATCAGATACCTTTCGTTGATTGGTCAATATGAGATAGGTCATAAGCAATAAATAGGAATATAGAACGGCAAGTCTTCGGGGGCTCCTTAAGCTGATTTCACGTTAGTCGGCGCATCGCAGCCAATCGCAGCGTCGCAACGCAGCGCGGAACGCAACGCGCAAACCCGGTTGAAATCCGGTTATGATCCAATCAGCGTCGAGTTAGGGTGCGTTCCCACTAAGCGTGTTACGCGCGCGTCATCCGAATTCTTGACCAATCAAAACATTCCATTTTATTGCGTAATTGCCGCACGATCTGCGCGATTTTATACAAAGGAATTAGATTCTTTTATCTCTAAATCGCTAGTGTGATGACGTGCGATTACCACAGCCCGGAATTATACAGGTCGGCATTGTGTAAAAATTGGCACAACACAAAACTTTTTAAAAAATTACAAAACGCTGAAAAAGCGACGCTTGAACCTCAAAATGTTCTTTTTTTTTTTTAGCATTTTCGAGTATCTTCGGTTGATATTTCGTTACCAAGCCGATGAGGTCTTCTTGAAAGAGACGATGAACGAATAGAAGAGGAGAACGCTCTCATTCCCCTTACCGTAAATTTGACAACCCCCTTGCCTTTAAATCCACTCTACGCTCCGTCCATACTGTGTGTCCATAGATGCCATAGATTTTTAGGTCCATGGCCGAAACCAATAAAGTTCAATACTAGGATTTCATTGCTTTTGTTTAGCAAGTTATTATGAATAATACCATTGAAATCCTAGTATTGAATTTTACCGGTTCCGGTAAAAGTTAATACCTGAGATTATGACCTGTAAAAACCAGACTTTAATGCATGAAACAAAATGCATATTGCACTCAAAGCATCACCACAATACATAATTACGAATTACGAACGATAATAAGGAAGGAAGAAAACTTTGCTGATTTCATTTAACAATAATGTAACATTTATTTAGTGACATGTAGTCTGTTATTCTGATAATTAGAAACAGTGTGTTACAATAACTTTAAATAAATGTGTATCCATGTAACGTCAATACCCGTAACTTCTCTCGGAACGAATGCGTGTCTGAAAGACACGGGGAGAAAAGACTTACTGCCATAATAAGCTGTAAAAAAGAACAATGTTTTACAAGCTGTCTATTGTTTTGACAATTAAATATTTACATAAAGCGTGCCTTCCGTTTCATGCATGATATATCATCTTTGTTATTCATTGAATGTTACAGGATATAAAATGATAGTATTTACACATCATGCGCATCATGAACAATCATGAATGACGGAACACACACTTATAATTAAATTCGTTCACTTAAATCTTAAATTCAACAATCGCTTACTTCATAAGGGTTAATTCGGGCATGCCTGGATCCGCACCCTTGCTGAATCCTAAAAATGAAACATTTAAATTTTAGTATGTTTGATCATCGTGCGAGCAAAATGATATACATATATGGATATCGATATCGTAAGATTTAAAATCTAACCTAAAAAGAGTACGGCAGGAATAAAACCCCATTGAAATACGAATTTGCTCACATTCAGAACAATTGCTATTCTCTGTTTCGTGGTCGGACTTAAAACCATTTTGATACTATATTAAGATCTTTAGCGTCAAAGTTTTCTTTTTACACAACGGATAATCGGTTAGCTAACAGCGAGTAGCGACCAAATGTGACAACCAATGAATTGAGGTTAAAGCAGATTGAAGATCGAAAATCGAGCTACGACGACCTCTTGCGGAATTGCAATTGCCAATGCCAACTACAGATTCATATTTATCAAGTTCAATTTGTTGTATACATACATCATAGGTATCTAGCTGTAATATATGCTAATTTCAATTCAAAATTATATTTGAAAATTTTTGTAATTAATACGTCATGTTTACTCGCAAGTAGATAAAATTAATTTTTGGAAAGTCAAAATGACAAACTTTCTTAATTAATTAACGTTATAATTGAGAAACCAAAAATTATGCTAATATACCGAGCGAATTAAACATGTTTTGTTAGTACAATGCAATCATACAATAGGAACAGAACACTGTAAGATGCAAAGTATAAAATTTAAGTTTTTATTTTAGAGTAGTCTGTGAATGAAAAGAAGGATTGTAACAATTCATTTAGAAGGTATAGTGATTTAGAACAAGATTTTTCCATATAAAACACCATTTACTGTATCGGTAATAAATAAAGTTATCAAGAAAAGATGTAATCTTCTTCCAAGAAGAGATCGAGATTAATGATCTATTATAATTAGCTCGTCGATGCCCCAATCTTCGTAACTGTTATCAGGCAAGTAGCGACGTATAATTATAGGAATTTTTCGTTGCTTCAACTCCTTCATAGCAATTTGCAATGGATCTGTCTCGCCTTCTAATTCTACCATCACGGGAGCACACATTGCTATTTGCAACGCTCTTGTACCTAAAACTCTTGCCCTTTCGTATCTAGAATGTAAATTATGATATATTAAAGAAGCTAATCATACTTGTGTGTATACACACATAAATACACAATAAACAAACTATATACTTGGTCATATATCTCGTCGTTATCCTCTTTGATCTTTGAACACCACCGGTAGCTTCGTTAGCATTCAACAATTCAATGTTTTCACCATCATCTTCCTGCGGTTCTAACTCAATGTTATCCTCGTCGTCCACATCATCGAAATCATCTGCGACCCTATAGAAAGCATAGAATACAATTACAATTAAATTGAGTTAATTGCTGGCAAATAATCTGATTGCATAAATTGTATTCCGTCATTATCCTTTTTCTAGTGCATTTTAATTTACAACAGAGTAGTATTAATATAATTAAAAAAAACAATAAGAGCACATGACCGATCATTGATCGGTATTAAAAAATTGGTATAAATAACCTATAAGTAAACTTGAAATAACAGAAACTTAATTACTTACTCATCTCCATCAAAATCTTCATCGGCCATTATTTAATTATTTATTAATTAGAGGGATACGTATACGATTTAATTACAATTTGATTATTCTATTGCTCATCACTCGTCTTCACCTTCGCACCACTCACCATCACTGGCTGGCACGATGCAGGCACGACGGCGGAGACGGGGGCGGTGGGCGGGCGCGGAGTGGCAGTGGCGCCAGTGCCGCCAGTGATGGTCGATTACATTTAAGAATTGCCAATCGCAAAACCGGTCCCGTACACTAGCGCCTCACGTCCACGTTTTCAAAAAAGGAACTACATACCACGTCTATCTTATAACATTGTCGATCAAATCATAGCATGAGAACATGAATGTGGTTCGAGTCTTTGCTAAGTGGGGTTCGAAGTTACTATAACCTATTTGTGCATTCTTGAATCAGAGAGAAGCGTGAGAGCAACCATGCCGGCTTTTAGAACTGCAGGCGATCTCCTCTATATACTACACTAGTACCCCACGTCCACGTTCTCATGCTATAATTAATTGATCGACAATGTTATAACATAGACGTGGGGCGCTTGTGTATGTAGAGTACATACGGAGGAGATCGCCGGTCCCATCCAAAAAGCCGGCGTGGCCGCTCTCACGCTTCTCTCTTTCAGTGCTTGCCGCGCTCTCGAGTCTTTTGTTTATTTACGCGTTTTTCTGAGTGACGTTTTCACACAGCCTTAACCACCACCAGCTGACGCGCGTGATCCGGCAAGAGTTGTCAAAAAGTTTTAGGACGATATTCAATCGAACTTACGTGTAACTTGTTTATATTTTGGATTTCTGATAAAAATATCGAATGAAACGTTGCGTGAAATGGCGACAGAGAAGGATTTGGTAAATGGTATATAACCATGTCAATATTGTATATTTATGAATATTTCCAATATTTCACAATCAAGAATTCACGAAATTACTCGATAAGTATCCCATCATTTCTATATTTTACGTCACGGCAGAAAACTATAAATTTTTATTTCTACTATTGTCGTTATCTTTCATCGAAAGATGACGACATGACAATTTAAAAATACTTTTCATTTATAATTTTGTGGTACAGCATATTACACTTACACTTCCTTATTCGTAATATAAATATATCACAATGTGATCTGATTGACGATTCCCTCATTGATGTTAGCATTCTATGCTCTTATGTGTATCTATAAAAAAATATGTGAAAGACGATAAAAAAAAAAATATATATATATATATATATATATAAAGGCCATCCCTTTTGCTTGTGTTTTAAACTTGTAGCTGTACGAGAATCGCTGAAGACTGATGGAAATCTTGACCGGATTAAAGCAGAAATGCGTACAGAAGTGATAAAATTGCTCGATTGTTCTAGCAAAGAGAACAAATCAAAAATTATCAAGCCTTCTCATGATATCATTTTCCTCAATGAACTTGTCAGAGAATATCTCGATTGGATGGGTTACAAATATAGTTCTACTGTATTTGTTGCAGGTACATTATTTTAATTTTATTATTGGAGTGCACAACCACGTATATCATATCTAATACCAGCGATAGATCGTGTATCGCATGTGAATAATTTTTTTTCCCCTTAAACAAAATCTTTTGACGAAATTTACTCGACGACGATAAGATTGAACAAAAATATTGTTATTCCAGAATGCGATCTTCCTAAACACTGCTTGGATCGTAAGCTTCTTGCACAAGGCTTAGGAGTAAAAGACAGTGAAAAGAGCAGAAACTTACCGCTGTTGTGTGGTCTCGTACAAACATTTACTAGTTTAAAAAATACCCAATTATAAAATCTACATGAGCGTGTATTCAACATTCAATTACGATTTTTAAATATTTATTTATTTATTTTCTATCATGTTACACACAAATCTCACACTTGGATTTTTTATATATACAAACACAAAAATATGCACAAACTTGGATATATACAGATTGTTATACTTATTATACAATAAATAATGAAAAAAAAATTAGTACTCAAGTCTCATTTTTAACACAACTCTGTTAAGATAACAAAACTGTATCACACATAAACTGCAGCAATATAGCAAGATGGATATATCAACGTCAATTATTTAATCAATCAATTTTAATTTTCGTGTTTGGTGAGATACAAGAATATGAATTAAAAGAATTTTACCATTTTATTTCGTGATTTTTCTTACATATTGACATTAGATTATGAAAGTACAATACAACGGCGAAAAAGGAAGGAAAGAGGGCAACAGCGAGAGTGAGAGGAGGAAAAGATAGAAATATATATGCATATAGATAGCAGAGATCCTAAATAAAATTGTTCTCTTATATTCATTGTATAGTGATTAAGCTTTTCAAAGACATCGCTTTTTGACAAAATTGCCACAAAATTATATCGGCTATAATGTACACGACTTATTGTAATAACAAACTTACATACAGAGAGAAAGAGAGTGAGTGTGTGTGTATGTATGTATGTATGTATGTACTTTATATATGTCAAGTCGGTACATGATAATTATGCAAAGGCCATATCACATGTTATTCTTTTCCTCTTTTCACGTTAGAACAGTTTAACTATCATGTGTGTATTCCCAACTTTTTTTCTTTATTCGTCAAACCATTAATTTGCTTTTACCTGCTCAAAGTGTTCACTTTTTTCCATATCAAGAAATCATTCAATAAATATTCTCTACTACTAAATGACATGTGTTGAAAAAACTTTTCACACACGCTGAGCTGCAACGAGTACAAAATAATAATAATAATAATATTATTATTATTACTATTATTATTATTATGATTTCCACGTGATATTTGAAAGTATTCTATGAAAAAAAAAGAAAAGTTCTGGCTTTTTTTTTTTCTTTTTCTGCTCCTCTCTAAGGTAAAGTTCTTTGATCGAACATCAAAGAAAGAGACATCTAATGATGTCATTTATGCTTGGATTTCTTCTTCTTCTTTGACTGCTTGCTTCTGCTCTTTGACTTTTTCGATTTCTTCTTATGTTTCTCTTCGTCACTGCTGCTGTCGGATGAATCAGAGTAAGTGTCCGAGTCTGAACTACTATCTTTCTTGGCAGATTTCTTCTTCTTATGCTTCTTATGCTTCTTTCTTTTTTTCTTGTGCGACTCATCGCTGCTATCCGAATCGGAGCTCGTAGTGTCGGAGCTGCTAGACGTGTCCTCGCTGCTACTCGACTTGGATCGTTTCTTTAGGGATTTGATCTCTATCTCTTTGCCCATTTCCGTTTCATCAAGTTTTAATTTCTTCACAGGTGACGGTTTACCTTCCTCGCCATCTGATTCCGAATCTGAGGCAGAATAGTCTGGTTCGAAACTCGCCTCGTCGAGTATGCTGCGCTTGCGATCAGACACCAGCCTCGGATTTTTCCTTTGTTTTTTCGACGACTCTGCTAGAGGCGGCTCAATATTCTCGTAACTGATCTTGGTCTCGTTACCATCCGGCTTGTCCTTGGAAATCGCGCCCTCTTTGTGCCTTTGTTTCTTTTCCTGATTTTTATCCTTATCTTTCTTGTGTTTCTTCTCCTTGCGCTTCTTGTGCTCCTTAGATTTACTCCTGCTACGGTGCTCCTTCTTTCTCTTCTTCTCTTCCCGCGTTTTCTTGTCACGCTTCTTCTCTTCCTCGTCGTCTTTCGACTTTAACAAGCCAATCTTGGACATTTCCGTTCTCTTAAATGCGCAAGCAGCCGAGGGAGGTGTCCTACCTCTGTGTGTCTCGCCGCGGTCTCGTTCCTTGTCGCGATCTTTGTCCACGCGTTCTCCTTTGGCGTCATTTCTATTGGAGCGCAAATCTGTCCTACTACAATCGATTCTACTCTCCCTCTCGGCTTTCAACTCGCTACCGTGCTGCCTGTCGCCGCGAAAATCCGACCTCTCCTTCGCCGCCGACCGATCGCCGCCGCCAATTCTATCCTTGTTGTCCCGTTTTCTCTCTTCCAAAAATACTTTTCGTTCGCCGCTCGTAGTCGTCGTGGTCAAGCCCAATGAAGAGGAGGAGGAGGAGGACTCGACTGGACGCCGCTCTAAAAGCGGAGAGGAGATCCTCTTTTCCCTTCTGGGCGATCGACTTCTCGACTGATTCTCATTCTTGGCGTCACGCCTCTCCAGGAATCCCTTTATAGGACTAACCTTCCTCTCCTTGCCGTCCTCAACCTTCTCGCCGAGTCTCTCCTTCGCGGACAGCCTAGTCGGCGAGTAGGCTGTTTCTGGCACAGGCTTGAACTTGGTGCGATCGAGCTTGGCTTTCTTCGTTGGCTCGGTGATTTCGACATTCCTTTCGTTTCTACCAACGTTGATCGTCACGTTGACGCTCTTTCGCGGTTCACGATTACTGGACTCCACCGTCTCCAACACCTTGGGTTCGGGATTCTGATACAATATCTTTCTGCTCTCGCTGATCTTTTTGATCTCGATCGGTCGGATCGCGTTAATTGCCTTTTGAAATATGGCGTTCTCCGCACGCTTCAGCACCTCCGACGTAACCATCTTGATCGATTTCGGCTCGTCCTCTCTCTGTATCTTCTCCGTCGGCGATCCGCTCGCGTTATCATCATCATCCTCGTCATCGTCATCGGGTTTCTCGATCGTATCATCCCTTTCCCACTTGGACAATTCGGGTATCGGCGCTAGAAATTCATCTTTCTTCGGCGATTTCTCCGTCGCTAGCATAATTGTCGAGGCTTCCTTCGCAGACTCGGTCTGCGAGTGTTCCGAAAGTAGAGAATACTTCTCCGTGATCACAGTGTTAATTTCCGTGTCGTCCAATCCTCCGTAGAGGCTATCGATCGGCTTCATGTCCGACTTGAGTTCCGGGATTGGTTTGAAGTTTGGATTCGGTGGATTCGTGCCGAATTCCGCACGATCTAGCCGACCGCTACCAGGACTGGATTCGTTGAATTCCGGCGGTTCCGGATTCATCGCCAGAGACTTATCCTCGAATTCCTCTTTGATCGGTGCGATGGACATTTGGTTGGAAGTACATTCGATCCTGTTCTGTATGTTATCCTCGTTGCACGCCTTTATAGAATCAGTTTTGTTCGGCAGCGGAGACGAAGTGTCATTGTTTGTTGTTTTACTCTCGGCCAGGTCATCTGTCTCCGTCGTTTTCATCATCGGATCGTCCTTCGCTGTTTCTTTCTGATTGGATTTCTTATCCTTTTTCTTCTTCTTCTTCTTCTCTTTCTCATCGCTATCCTTCTTCTTTTTCTTCTCCTTTATCCTCTTCTCTTTCTTCTTCTCTTCTACTTTTTCCTCATGCTCCTTTTCTTTCTTCTTTGTACTTCGTTCTGGCGACAAATCTTTTGGCTCACCCCTGGATTTCTGAGAGTATGGACTTAAGCTCTTCCTACTCTTTTTCCGCTCCATCGAACTCCGTCTCTCGTATCGTTCGTGACGATCTCTGTCCTTCTCGGTTTCATATTCGCGTTCGCGTCTCTCCTTCTCTCGCAGCCGACTCTTGTCATCTTGCCTATGGCGATCTCGATCATCTCTATAACTGTAATAATAGAATGAAGACATGTACAAATGACATGTTTGCTACAAATTATAAATTAATTTAACGTGTGCCTTTTTCCGCACGGCACTTTTTAGGTAACAAACATGTAACAAAAATTTCATATATAGATTTTTTATGAGTGCTAAACAATTTTTTTAATTTGACAATGGAAGTTCTTTAACTTGATTATGCAGTAGAACGTACCGATCTTTATCATAATCCTTCTTTTCGACATGCCTGTCGTCATCTCGACGATCGCGAATGTGCCTATCGTCTCGTTCTTTCTCCTTTTCTCTTCTGTCACGTTCGTCTTTCTCTCGTATCCTATCCTCGTGTTCTCTAGGCGGGACCTGTCTATCGCGATCCTCACGGTCTCTGTTTACAATTCTGCGATCTCTGTCGTCCCTCTCACGCATACGATCCTCACGTTCGCGAATCCTTTGAAACGCAAGATTGCATTACAAATATATTTCTTCATAATACGATTGCGATATTTTTCTTTTGTGAAATGTTAAGTTACTGGCAAGGGAAGATTAATGTTCTTTAATTAAAGGACAATTCAGGCTCAATACAATATTCAACAATGTTACCTATCGTCCCTCAATCTATCACGTTCGTCGTTATCATGATCCTTGGACGAATGCTCGCGATCTTCTTGATCTCTCAGGGAGCGCTGTCTTTCGCGATCATCCCTCGATGATCTCTCGGAATGTTCAACACCCGGTGGCGAAAGATCGTAGTAACCCTCGGTACCAGGTGGTGCTACGTCGTCGAATCGCTTATGTGAGGAAGAATCCCTCAGTGGACTGTTAAAACGCTGCTGCGGCGGAGGTCCGGAATATCTGTTGACAGAAGGTCAGTACAGCAGTTGATACATTAGTATAATTCTACTAAATATTAAATATGCTTATGCTTTTTCTCCCCCTCCCCTTTTTTTAAATATATAATGCCTCTTTAAAATTGGCACAGCACACCGTTGCGTAGAATAGTTGTTAGTAACGAATTTATGCAATATGAAGGTCGAAAAAATTAATCGTGTTAAGATACTCGCAGAGAAAAAAAAACTCAGAGAATATAGTTTGTTCCTTAAATTTTCTTCCATTCATCCGTCAATTCCGAATTTATTTGGCACACCTATGGTATATGTATAGAAAACCTATTTAATAAAAATTTAAATAATTAAGACAGGATATATGCTGAATTTTTTCTACGACTGTTGCACCTCTTTTTATCTCCATACAAGCTGAAAGAATGAATAAGATACATAATCACAATCACCTCTTGCCGAGACTTTGTTAAAATCATTAACTAAAATTATAGAATAAAGTACAGAAAGCAACATTTGTAATGTTGAGCTGCTTTAAAATATAACAAAAAATATTTTTTTTTTCATGACTATAATTATGTGAATATTCCAATTATAGATAAAAATAATTAAGAAACTACCGAATTGTAGCTTTTTGCAATTTATGTTTGATTTGTTTACTTGTGACATGATACATTTTCAGTAACACGTCCCAAATTTGTCACTGAAAATAAATAGAAACAAGCTTCTTTTTTATTACAAATGTTGATTTGGCCCTGAATTCACCTGATTCAGAAACCATGTGGATGTGTCAATCAGCTCGCTTGCTTCTCTCCGCGATGGTCCTCGATTCTCTTCTTTACTTCTCTCTTCTTTTAGCACTTTTAAATTACATTTCACAATATGCATGTTTTATATATGTATATATATATGTATATATATATATAAAACATTGTGAATTACATACATTTTATATAGTTATGCATTACAGTATGCATTTTATATATATATATATATAATTACATATTCAACAATATTATAATATTTAGTAGATAAATAAAGTACGCATATTATAGTATAAAGCCTTATATAAAACATGTTACAAACGGCGATATCAAAATTAAATTAAAAATGTTTTTTTTATAAAAGAACTTAATTTTACAGTAAAGTTATTATTAAATTATAAATACAGATCTTACTTGACCTATGATATAATAATTATCCAATATTGTATAATAATTAAATGCACACAATTCAACATTAACCGCAGTTAATGAAATAACGTAATGTAGAAAAAAATTTGCAATGGTAATAATATTACATTATCCTTAAGTATATTCTAAGTGTATAAAATATAATATATACAAGAATACATACATACATATACATACATATATATGTATAATATATTTATAAAATACAATTATATAGATATTAAAATTACTTCCGCGTTATTACAATATACCTAAACTAAGTATAAAATTTTGTATGTATACAGATACGATTCACAATTAGTATATTAGATTAAAATGTATTATATATAGTGTGTACGTGTGTGTGTGTGTGTGTGTGTGTGTGTGTGTTTGTGTGCGCGTGCGTTTGTTTACGATTGTGTGATGTATTCATGTATGCATAAACGATGGTGCATATATATGTATTTTATAAAATTGTGAATCTCTTAATTACCTGATGTAAAAAATCTGTCAAAAGCAGGTCTACAGCAAAACTAAGTACATGAAGAAATATAAAAAAATTTTACATGAAGTAAAGGTTTCGCTATGCACATAAATCACACTCTCATTAGCATACCTTACCATCTTATTAATGTCCTAAATATAATACTGTGAAAGTACTGCTCTAAAAATAAATTATCAAGTAACAATTTCTTATTTTACTTTTCAGATATAGAAGCGTATTAAATGTAAGGAATGAAAAACAATCTTTTTTACTTTTACTTTTTTAACTGTTTTTAATCTTTAGCACTCTTTCCCTCTCAGTATCCATAAATAACATACAAGTGTATAGAGAAAAATATATCAATTTGTACAATCGGATATCACGAGATATGAAATAATCAAACACAATAATCTCACAGCATACAATTACTAACGTATCACTCTTGCAAAAATTTAAATGTTACTATAATAAAATATATGAGCTGCATAAATTTGACATACGGCAAAAATTCCACATATCTGTACAATGTACATCCTTTATGCGTGTATTACATATATTCGTATTACACATATTAAATGTCTTTTTTTTCTCTTTAATTATTTTCTCTATTTGTGGACAATAAAACTTGTTTAGTTTAAGAAGAATAAACAATATTACTTTAAGAAATTATAAAAAAATAAATGTAGCTAAAGAAAAAAAAAAAACATTTATGCACAAAAGAGAAAGATGCGGATTTTGTAATTATTTTACTTTACTATTTATCGTCTTTGTAATTTTTAATCTTTATATTTAAGAATTTTGAAACATTAATGTAATCTTAAAATTGAAGGGCTTGTGTTGCAGCAACAGTAAGTTAACCCACAATTTGTAACGGAGAAAATAAACTCTAAAATTAAAGTGATAAACTTAAAAATTTATTTTCGATGGTGAGCAAGAAAAAATTTTTATTTTAAAAATCAAATAAAAAAGTTTAAAAAAAATTTTTTATTTTAAAAATCAAAT